CAGCTATTGAGAGAGGGAGTGGTTACATGTGCTCTTTCTCTGATTGCTTGTTATTGGTATATAGAAAGACTACAGACTTTGGAGGTTAATTATGTAATCTGCCGCTTTCCTGAACATGTTAATAATTTCTAGGAGTTTTCTGATGAAATTTTTGGTGACATATGATATCATATCATCTGCAAAATGGGATAATTTGATCTCTTCTTTTCCAATTATTACTCCTTTCATTTCCTGCTTTTGTCTTATTGCTTTTGTAAGAATTTCAAGCACTATGTTAAAGAGAAGTGGAGATAGTGGACAGCCTTGTCTGGCTCCTGATTTCAATGGGAATGCTTCCAGTTTTTCTCCATTTAGAATGATGTTGGCTGTGGGTTTGTTATATATGGCTTTAATTACATAGAGGTATGTTCCCTCCAGTCCAATTCCCCCAGGACTGTGAACATAAATGCATGTTAAATTTTGTCAAAGATCTTCTCTGCATCTATTGAGATGACCATGTGGTTCTTGTCTTTGAGCCCATTGATATGATTTATGATGTTTATTGACTTATGGATATTGAACCATCCCTGCATCTCTGGGATAAAGCCAACTTGATCATGGCGGATGACCTTTTTGATCTTTTTGTTGTGTGTCTTTATGTGGTTTGCAAGTATCTTTTTGAGAATTTTTGCATCTATGTTCATTAAGGATATGGGTCTATAGTTTTCTTTTTTGGTTGTATCTTTGTCTGGCATAGGTATTAGAGTGCTGCTGGCTTCATAGAAGGAATTTGGAAGGTCTCACTCCATTTCTATTTTTTTTTTGAATAAATTAAGTAGTATTGGATGCAGATCTTCTTTAAATGTCTGATAGAATTCTGCTGTAAATCCATCTGGTCCTGGGCTTTTTTGTCAGGAGGTTTTGTACTACTGTTTCAATTTCTTTTTGTGATGTAGGTCTGTTTAAGCTGTTAATCTCTTCTTGGTTAAGTTTTGGTGGTTCCCATGCCTTTAGATATGCATCCATTTCTTTTAGGTTTTCGAATTTGGTAGCATATATGTTTTTAAAGTATTCCCTTATACTGTTCTGTATCTTTCTGGTGTCTGTTGTGATGTTTCCCCTTTCATCTCTGATTTTGTTGATTTGGAGGTGCTCTTTCTTTCTTTTGGTTAATTGGGCTACTTTTGGTTAACTGGGATAGCCGTCTGTTGATCTTGTTTATCTTTTCAAAGAACCAACTCTTGGAGTTGTTGATTCTTTGTATTGTTTTCGTTGTTTCAATTTCATTCATTTCTGCCCTGATTCTTGTTATTTCTTCTTGTCTGCTGGGTTTGGGTTTCATTTGCTGTTGCTTTTCAAGTGTGTTGAGTTGCAATGTTAAGTCATTTATTTGTGTTCTTTCCGATATTTTGATGTAGGCACTTAGAGCTATAAATTTCCCTAAGGACTGCTTTCACTGGGTCCCAGAGGTTTTGTCATGTTGTATTGTCCTTTTCATTTAATTCCAGGAATACTTTTATTTCTTTCTTCATTTCTCTTTTGACCCATTCATCATTCAGGAGTGTGTTGTTTAATCTCCATATGTTCCTGTGGTGGTTAGGGCTTCTTCGGGTGTTGATTGTAAGCTTTATTGTATTGTGATCTGATAGAATGCATGGAATTATTTCAGTCTTTTTTTATTTGTTGAAGTTTGTTTTGTGCCCCAGTATATGGTCAATTTTGGAGAAGGGTCCATGGGATGCTGAGTAGAAAGTATGTCCTTGGTGCTTGGGTGGAATACTCGGTAGATGCCTGTTAAGTCCATTTGATATATGGTATTGTTAAATTCAGATGTCTCTCGGTTAATTCTCTGCCCTGTTGACCTATCTAATCAAAGGGGGGTATTGAAATTGCCTACTATTAATGAGTTGGGGTTAATATGGGTCTTAAAGTCCTGTAGTATTGTTTTTATGAAGTTGGGTGCACCAAAGTTTGGTGAATATATGTTCCTGATTTAATATCTTCTTGATTCATTGTTCCTTTGATCAGAATAAAGTGGCCTTATTTGTCTCTTCTTATTAGTTTTAGTTTAAAGTCTATTTTGTCAGATATTAAAATTGCTACGTCTGCTTTTTTCTTAGTTCCATTTGCTTGGTATATATTTTCCATCCTTTCACTTTGAGATAGTGTCTGTCCTTAAAAGTGAGATGAGTTTCTTGCAGACAACAAACAGATGGGTTTTGTTTCTTAATCCATTCACATAGTCTGTTTCTTTTGACTGGGGAGTTCAGTCCATTAATATTTAAAGTTATTAATGAAAGATGGGTTTGAATGCTGTCATTTTTATTTCTGTTTACATTCTTGACATAGCTGTACTTTTCAACATTTATACCTTCATTGGATTTCTTTCTGAAATCCCTTGGGTATAGTCATTCCTTTCTTCAGTTCTTTGTATTGTTCCCAGATCTCTCTGAAGGGC